GGGGACCTGATGGGCTGGGATGGAGGGGAGGCGTGAGAGTACCAATAGCTTCATCCTGGCCTCAGGTCAGCGCTTTCAATTCAAGTATATCAATTCAATTCAAGTTAAGTAAGTTCACGGACGATTTTATTTCAAGTAATCAAGTTACACCCCCGAACTTGACTTACTTGAATTGAAGTCAGCGCTGGTCATCAGATGACGATGACAGTCATGGTACTGCCTCTACCTACTGGGCCCACGGTAAAAAGACCGGAAGGAAGGGCCCGACCACAAGAAAGCAAGAGGCAAGTGGCCGGAAGAGAGGCTCTTCAAAGAACCAGCGAGCCGCGAACAAGTTTAGCCAGGAAACCAATCATCGAGTCGGCAAGCACAAGGATCATACCTGCACGAACTGCAAGAAGAGAGGACATCACGAAAATGATTGCTGGTTCGCCCATAAGGATAAGCGACCCGATTGGGCAGTCCGTCTCGCCAAGGAACTCATGGAGCATGATCTTCAACGCGACAACACCAAAAATCTCCATATCAAGGAATCAAATCACATGACAGTCGAGCGATCTTTTCTGATTCTCGAAGATAGCATCTCAGACGAGGTACATATGGACAATACAGAGACGTGTAGAGTCTCCCTTGACAACATCTCTCCATCAGCAGAATGGCTGTTCGACACGGGTTCGTCAGTCCACATCTGCAACGACCAGAGTCTGTTCACAGAGCTGCAGCCTGCAATTCGAACCGTCCTCGTTACAGGCGGTGGGAAAGTGTACCCATCCGGTCGAGGGACAGTCAAAATTTGCTTCATAAACAAATGGGGTGATCAGGTCACAATTAACCTCAAAGACACGCTGTTCATCCCTGAGTTTCCGGTAAACGTCATGTCAGGGCTCAGGCTATACAAGAATGGCGGCTGGATAGACGGGAACGACATGTATGACCCAACAGGAGACGTCTTTGGTCTCCTTCGCATAGGAAGGGACGGTCTGTACGTCAACACTGAGGTTGGAAAGACTGCCGTTCCAAACCAGGCCGTCTCCGAACTCCAGCCAGAACCATGCAATCACCACACTGTTTCATCAAAGCAATGCCTGGACGTCGACCTTTGACACTGAAGACTCGGCCACGTCAACGTATTTCAGGTATCGCAGACTGCCAAAATGACGAAAGGAATGTTCTGCGACAGCCACCACAATCATGAACCTTTCAATTACTGTCTCGCCTGCGACATCGCAAAGGCCCTACGATGGACTCCACGAAACAAACGGAAGCGAGCCTCCAGGGCCGGGTTCATCATCCATGTTGATACCTTCAAAGTCAACCCGCCGGGCATTAGACGCGAACGATGGGGAATGATTGCCACAGATGACAGGCATCGAATGAGATGGGCCTACACATTCACGAGGAAGGGGATGGCTTCGGAACTTCTAGGCCAGCTCATCTCGAAGATACGAACTCAGTATGGCATCCGTGTGTACGCAATCCAGATGGATGGCGGCTCTGAGCTCTATGGTGCGTCTCTCAAGAACCTCGAGTACACCCACGGCGTCAAGATCATCAAGACGACACCATATACTCCTGAATTTAACGGAGTTGCTGAGCGCTCAAACCGCATCATCTTTGACAAAGTCAGAGCAACCATGGAATCGGAAAGAATCCCGATAGAGCTCTGGCCATTGGTCCTGGAAGATATGGTGCGCAAGACAAACGTGACAGCCACCAGGGCAATTGATGGCCTCACTCCCATGGAAAGCTTTCTCAACGAGGCCTTCCCCGGACAAGACAACAAGCCGGATCTGTCCGGAGAACGAATCTGCGGCTCACAAGTCACGATACACATACCGCAAGAACGAAGATTAAGATCACACAAGTTTGGTCCAAGAGGAGAGACTGGAATCTACCTATGCATGGAAGGTTCAAAGATTTACACCTGCTGGGTGCCCTCTCGCAGAAAGGGACATCAGCTCGTCCGCTCTGCAAATGTGCAATTCTACGAAAAGGTTAGGGAGACAGAACTCCTGACCGAAACTGAGCATGATGTTGAGCCGGAAATCCGCAAGAACGGAGCTCCCATCTCAAGCCGGCCACAGTCCGTCACGGAGCAGACAAAGACTCCAAGCCCACAAAGGTCTGAAGTGAACAATCTTCAGCATGCTGAGGTGCATAATCCTCAGCATGGACAGACAACAACATCCATGACATCAGCTAAGCTGCCCGATCTCCGAAAAGAGGTGATCACTGAGCCCAAAACAATGACTGAAGCGCTTCAAGGTCCGCAAAGGGAGCATTGGCTCAGAGCAATACACAGTGAGCTGCGCAGTCTCCTCACGAACGGAACTTGGCGCATGCTGGACCGCAACCAAGCTCACAATAGGCCACTTACAGTCAAGTGGGTATTCAAGGTCAAAAAGAACGAGGATGGCAACCTCGACAAGTTCAAGGCGCGGCTGGTGGTCAGAGGCTTTGAACAACAGTTCGGCTTTGACTACAACCAGACCTTTGCCTCTGTTGCCAAAGCGGCGACCTGGAGAATCCTCCTCACCGTTGCTGCCTGTCTTGACTGGGAGATTGAGCAGATGGACGTGTCGACGGCGTTCCTGGAAGGGGACCTCGACGAAGAAGTCTTTATCGAAATGCCGGAGGGGCTTGTCGAGTATTTCGACCAACACCCAGAAGACCGTCCGCCAGGATTCTCAACCGAGAAGATCTGCAAACTGATCAAATCCCTCTATGGACTCAAACAGGCGCCTCGGCAATGGCAAAGGAAGCTGAAGGAGACCTTGGAATCCCTTGACTTCAGACAAGCAACGTCTGACACGGCCGTATATCACAATCCCACAACGGGAGTGATCATCATCACATATGTGGATGACTTCCTTATCATGGGCAGCAACAAGGAAGCAATCCAAGGGTACAAAGCCCGCCTGGGAGAGATCTTCACAATGACTGATCTCGGTCCCGCCAGCCATTTTCTTGGAGTAAGAATAACCCGAGACAGGGACTCAAGTCTGATCTACCTTTCCCAGGATGCATATTTTACCAGAATACTAAAGAAATTCGGCTTGGAAGATTGCCGACCAGTCAAGACCCCCATGGAGCGAAATTCACTCTCGACACTGCAACCAAGAGACAATGGCGACTCGGCTTCTCCAGAAGAACGAGAAGACTATAGCTCGAAAACCGGCTCGCTGATGTATGGAATGACCCAAACCAGACCCGATTTAGCTTTCCTACTCTCGGTACTCTCAAGATACATGTCGAATCCATCACCAGCACATTCACGATTGACCAAAAGAGGTCTTCGCTATCTACAGCAGACAAGAGACCACGGCCTGGTGCTTGGGGGCGTCAAGAAAGATCCTGAATCCGCTTGGAGCATCACAGCTTGGGCCGACTCGGATTGGAAAGGCGACACTGTTACGGGAAGATCGACGTTTGGGTGGCTCGTTCAACTTGAAGGATCTACAGTCTCATGGAGGGCCAAACGGCACGAAACAGTGGCACTATCGACCACCGAGGCTGAATACACAGCACTCTCCCAATGTGCCAGAGAACTGGCCTGGACTAGGAACCTCTTCTCTGAACTGCTCCTTCCGCTACATATGCCTATCCCACTGAACGGCGACAACGAGGGTTCCCTAAAGCTATGCAGAAACCCTGAGCTTCACCAACGGACAAAGCACATTCCGTTAACCGAGCACCATATCCGAGAAGAAATTGAAGCCGGGAACATTGATGTGCAATACGTCAGCACACATGAGCAGGTAGCAGACGGACTCACTAAACCATTGAACGCCGTCAGCCATGGTCACTTTCTAGAAGCAATTCGAGTCAGTGCATGTCCGATCGAGGAAGCAGGTCGTATTATTTGGAGTACTGAAGTCCACGATGACTCTGTGCCCTGAAGACAAGGTGGATGGGGGCGTGTTGGAAAATCCGGGGATCCCCCTTCCCTTCACGACTCAGACAGTCTGAAAGTCCTAGATTTAGAGTTCAAAGTCCTAGATGAAATCATCTAGAGATATAAACCCGAGAAGAACTCTCATCTCAATAATGAACAACCAAGTTTCATAAAAAAAAAATAATATAATTTTCACCCAGCACTACTGCGCAATATAAACAACAGATACAGATGATTATTTCTTATGTGGCGCCACGCATTGCCCTTATAGCCATCCTTCCATGGCTTCGCCGTACAGTATAAGTAGACATATAAAGTGCGAGGCTTCGCCTTCTCTCTGGTGAAGAATCTCTCAATATCGATGAAGTCGGGGGCGGAAGAGAGTGTCCACGGTACGGACAAAGTTTCGGATACCATGGCGATGGCTTGATGGTATAAATAATGGATCGAGGCGATGCAGAGTCTGCCGATAAGTCGTCCTAGAAACTGCTGTGTCTACTTGGAAGACTTTTTTTTACCTTAAGATTCTTGTCAATTTCTGATGGATCTCGATCATAGGGATAGAAACTCTTGATTTCTCTATTTAATTAGCGGAAACAGGTCGGTTTTTTATACATAAGATGAATTGGTCCTCCGGGGCCGTTGTGTTGAAGAACTTGCTTTTTGGGAGACATAGGTGATACCAACCACTGACCGAAAGTCCGGACTTCCGGGCTGCCGGTCTGAACAGTCTGCCTGAACTGCTGGAAGACCTTCCTTCCGGTTTGATCAAATGTGTGACCCTTTGGTCTGTTGGATGTGACAATTCTGAATATAGAAGGGTTGCGATAGATTAGATTAGATTATAGAGCGGGCCAATCAAACGCCAGGAACGCCGTTATGAGTTTGTGAGTTAACTCATGAGTCAGGTTGAGTTAACTAAAATGCCCAGGTATGGTTATCACAGAAGAAACCTCTGCTTGTTGAACAGCTGCATACAGTGTACTAGGTACCTATGCTAGACGGTTCAAGGCGTGTTTCAAGGTCTTGTGCGTAGGCTGATGACCCCTTGTATATTCCGCCAACTCTCTTGAATATCAAGTGTTATCACATTTTTTCGACTTTTGCTTCTCATGTTAATTTAGTAACACTACACGATAAAAAGACAGCTTAGGCTGTCGCTGTCCCCTCTACAGTAAGCGTGCCGGTTTTGGAAATGAGGTACTCCTCGATAGCAACGTCTTTGCCAGCTTCTTTCCCATACCCTGAAGCCTTGATACCGCCGAAGGGAGACTCAGCGCACGATGCGTTGCCTGAGAAAGAATGGGTTAGTTACGAGACGGCATTATAGTGACTCGGGCTACAGAGATAAAGTACTCACCTGTATTCATCCCGATCATCCCCGCCTCAAGACTCTCCAGAAGCCTCCAAGTGCGGCTCACATCTTTCGTGTAAAAGTATGAGGCAAGTCCCATTGACGTGTGGTTAGCCAGTTTTACAACTTCCTCCTCCGTTTCAAACTTATAGATGCCCAATAAAGGACCGAAAATCTCTTCCTGGGTCGTCAACATATCTGGAGTCATCCCGGAAACGACAGTAGGCTCAAAGAAATAACCAGCCTTGAGATGGTCGGGTCTTCTTCCTCCACAAAGCAGCTTGCCTCCTTTGCTAAGGGCATCAGAGACATGTCGCTCTACCTTTTCAACCTGTCGCGAAGTTGTCAAAGGACCAATTGTCGTCTCATCGGCTGCGCCATGCCCAACCTTGAGCTTCTGGGTTGCCTGGACCATCTTCTGACAGAAAGTCTCGTAAACCCCACTTTGGACGTAAACCCTGTTAGCGTGTGTACAAGCCTGACCAGCAGTTCGCCACTTGAGTATCATGAGAGCCGCGACGGCTTCGTCTAGGTTGCCGTCGTCGAATACAATAAAAGGGCAGTTACCGCCAAGCTCCATCGTGACCTTCTTGAGGCCCTCAGCACAATGCTTTGCGACGATGCTTCCAACATTAGTACTGCCAGTAAAAGTTACCTTCCGCACCGATGGGTGCTTGCAGAGCCTTTCGCTGACAGATGGCGTATGCTCATTATCGGTTGAGATGACATTGAGTACACCATTCGGTAGGCCGGCCCGAAGAGCTAGATCGGCCAAAGCCATGACACTGAGAGGGGTTTCAGGCGAAGGCTTGACAACCATTGTGCATCCTGCAGCAATTGCAGCAGCCACCTTTCGAATAATCATGGCAACGGGGAAGTTCCAGGGTACCAGAGCGACACAAACACCAATTGGTTGCTTGATGACGAATGTCCGTCGGGATGAGACTGAGGGCAAGGCGATTGAGCCGCGAACTCGCTCAGCCTCACCAGCGAACCACCAAGCAAAACCGAGCGCGTAATCAACCTCACCAACTGCCTCTGCCATCGGCTTGCCTGTTTCATAGACAACAATCTTGGCTATGTCTTCTCGGGCCTTTGTTATTAACTCATGCCACTTGAGGAGAATCTTGGCTCTTTCACGAGGGTTGGTGTGGCGGAAAGAGTCAAAGGCAGTTTGTGATGATTCGATGTACTGATCAACGTCGGTGACTTGGTTAGTAGGACAAGAAGCCCAGATCCTGCCGGAACCAGGGTCTAAATATACCATGATTAGTCCTCAAGCACACGACCACAAATAGCATCTGACCTTACCTTCAACGTCAAACCGTTTAGCTTCCTGCGCCTGCACCCATTGTCCACTGAGCAATGAAGCCTCATGGAGCAGAGATGGATCGTTCAGCTAGCATTGGTCAGAAAGTTGTTAAAGGTCGATGGGGTTGTGTTTACAGTAAAAGGGAGACTTTTCGACATTTTGCGTGTATCGTTTCTTCTTTCGAGCCTCGCTTAAATGTATACAATAAATCTTTTTTATCGCACGACACAACTACGAACAGGAAGAAGCCCTTTTTATAGATTAACTGAGAGCTTCGAGGTCTAGCAGGGCTTGCGTACAATAGAGCTCACGGAGCTGAGGAAGGCGGGGCGTTCTCCCTTCGCCCATGCCGACCGGCCAGCCGTAACAGATCCCGGGTTACGTACATTCATTCTGCAGAAAGTTGATCCGATTGGGTCAATGCACAGCTATTGGGACCCAGACGGGTCGCATTCGTCAGCGTTTCGTTATGTCAACAAGTGCATGACCACCAGCGTTCCATTTACAGATTCACTCGCTCCCAGGCCCCAATTCTTTGGATATGTTGACAAAGGCTTTTTACTACTAATCATACCGCTACTTCATCATTACTAATGACAATGATGCACATTAGTGACTAGTAATCGATAGTATTTTTGTGATTGTTCCCATGATTCATATAGAAGGTATGCCTGCCAGTCAGCACCTATCCCTCCAACTCGACACTCACCTCTGAATACCGTTTTCCTTGGTCATTTTTAAGGCTACTCTCTGCATCATACACAATGATACACCCTACTAAAGAAGTTTCCATTGCTGTCATCGGTAAGTACTTGACCTACCAGCACCATTCATAGCGATCGGCAGCCAGTGGTTCGAGGATTAATCTTAGATAGGTGCTGGCGGTGTTGGCTCCGTTTTCCTCCAGCAGCTCGCCTATGTCGCCAGTCGACGCCGCTCTCCCGAAATAAGGCTTGTCTATGTCGCCACAATTGACAAAGCACTTTACCACGCCGATTATCAACACATTGAGATTGCCACAGCTCTTTCTGCACTAGAAGCTAAAGGAGGACCACTCCCCTCCATCTCTCAAACTGTCGAGTACCTTTCTCGTGCACCTGGAAAGGCCATTGTGGTGGATAACACAAGCAGCCAGCAAATCGCCGAGGCTTATCCGCAGTTCCTTCGCCATGGATTCAGCGTAGTGACCCCCAATAAGAAAGGCTTTTCTGGTAGCTGGAGTCTATGGCAAGAGATCTTTGATGCAGAGGGCACTGATGGCTCCATGGTTTACCACGAGTGCTCAGTTGGTGCAGCGCTACCGATCATCGGGCCTTTGAAGCGACTTGTCGAGACCGGCGATGAAATCACACGCGTTGAGGGCGTTTTTAGTGGTACGATGTCGTACCTCTTCAACAACTTCGCTCCGACCCAGGGAAGTGGCGGCAAGTGGTCAGACGAAGTCAAAAAAGCGAAGGAATTAGGTTACACTGAGCCTGACCCACGTGATGACTTGAACGGTCTCGACGTCGCTCGAAAAGTTACCATCGTCGCCCGCTTGGCTGGACTCGCCATTGAGTCACCGACTTCTTTCCCAGTCCAGAGTCTGATTCCCAAAGAGCTTGAGGGGGTCACAAGCGGCGAAGAGTTTCTCCAGAGGCTTTCCGAGTTCGATTCTCAGATGGAGGAACATAAAGCAACAGCGGCCAAAGACGGCAAAGTGGTTCGATTTGTTGGCCACGTTGATGTGGCATCGAAACAAGCCAAAGTTGGTCTGGAGTCTTTCGAGAAATCTCATCCTATCGCATCTCTTAAAGGAAGCGACAACATCATCAGCATCTATACCAAGCGATATGGTGAGCTGCCTTTGATTGTTCAAGGTGCCGGTGCCGGTGCGGCTGTGACGGCTATGGGCGTCTTGGGAGACGTGTTGAAGGTGCTGGAACGGATTAGGTAGATCGAGATAGAATAGCAATCAGCATGACCAATAGACATAAGTTGTCACGGCGCAACGGGGAATATAGAACGGAGTTGAAATTCAAGTCATTGTCCTAAGCGGGAGACGTACATGAATGGCCGCAGGCCCCCAGGAGACTCCCTCAAGTTTTCAGTATTTGGGATGGACGACTGGATAACTCGTAAAATCTCGCACGTTATCGTGTAAGAGCCGATGTCGCGATGAAACCCGCTAGATCAATCACGCATATCAAGCGTTTGAAGTGCAGTAAGGACCAAGGACCCCTATGAGTAATTAGTCACTTACGTTATTTTTCTACACCTTACCTGAGTAACTATCAAGTGTGCGGAGACACAAGCCTGACGGGCTGTAGACAAAAACGGGTGGCCCCACGCTGTATGAAGAGCGACGTTATAATCGCTCAAAATAAAAGGCAGGTCGATGCGCATCTCTCCACAAAGCCTACTAGAAATAGATCCACTCTGCCAGCCCCGTGCTGTTCGACGTAATCGTGCGGGGGTTTGGAATTGCAAAAGTGATGTCTCGACTTTTCTCGAGGCGTGGAGACGCTAGCAAACTTGACGCCGTAAGTCAAAAGAGGAAATTTTTCGGTAAGCGGCTTGCGGATCGACCTTCCCCTGAGATCTGGTCAAGCGTCTAACATGGCCTCGTAGAGTAACGTCCCTCCTGTAGTAAGTGAATCCGACGGGCGTAGGAGTGTCATGGGATGAGTACGCCGTGTATCTGTATGAACTAGGTGCGCGCCCTTGGCTTGACATTAGGGCGCAAGTGGCTCAGATGATAATTGAACAAGAGATTCGCGGTGACATTATAAATACAACCCAGTATGGTAACCCCACTCATCAACACTGAGACTTTTTCAAGAAAAATTATCAGCGCCATTATTTGACAACATCAGTACAATGGGGACCAACTTAACCCGCGGCGAGACCGACAAGTTTGTCCTGACAGCTGAGGCTCTGCACAAAGCTCTACCCAAATTCCATTTCTCGACCCAGGCCGTACACGCCGATGACTTCGTCAGCCCTCACCGGGCCATTGCCCCAGCGATGCACCCCGCCGTGAACTATCGATATACCCGTGATCCGGATCAGCTGGTCGAGATGGAGAATGACGATGTAAGAAACCAGACGAATACAAGAGAGCCTTGCTAATTGGTAGTGATAGCCTAATGCACCTTTCGATTCACACGTTTATTCACGTTACACTGCCCCTAACTCGAACCGGTTCGAAATTGTACTCAAAACTCTATTTGGCTACAGCACCGTCTCTTATGCTTCGGGACTTGCAGCTTTTAATTCTATGTTGATCTTGGTGAACCCCAAGAAGATCTTCATTACCGACGGCTATCATGGCGTTCACGGCATAATCGACATCATGCACAAGCTCAACGGGCTTCAAAAGTTGTCGTTAGACGATATTGATCAGGCTGGCCCGGGCGATATGATCCACGTTGAAACACCGCTCAACCCAACTGGCGAGGCGCGTAACCTTGCATTCTTCAAAGAGAAGGCTCGCGCTGCAGGAGCCATCTTGACTGTTGATGCAACACTTGCCCCGCCCCCACTGCAAGATCCTATACAGCTGGGCGCAGATTTGGTCATGCATAGCGGCACCAAGTACATAGGCGGACACTCTGACATGCTGTGTGGTATCGTTGTCATTCACCCAGATCGTGTTCAGGAAGGATGGGAGAAGACGCTGCGTGAGGAACGCCAGGTTTTAGGAAACGTCATGGGCAGCCTGGAGGGCTGGCTGGGCATTCGATCACTGCGTACTCTATTCCTCCGCGTCACACAGCAATCTCGCAACGTTCAAGGTGTCGTTGCTTGGCTCCATAAGGGTCTGGAGGATCGAAACTCAGTTATTGGCCGCACAATCACGAAAGTGACGCATAGTTCTATCCAGAAGGACGCGCTGGACGAGGGCTGGCTTCAGAAACAGATGCCTGGTGGTCATGGTTCTCTCTTCAGCATTTGGCTTAAGGATCGAGAATTCGCTAAGCGTTTGCCGAGTAAACTATACATCTTCCAGCATGCTGCCAGTCTAGGAGGCGTCGAGAGCTTGTGCGAATGGCGTGCCATGAGCAGCGAGGACGAAGATCCGCTATTGCTTAGATTCAGTCTTGGTGTTGAGGATCTGGAAGATCTAAAAGCAGATCTCTTACAGGGACTTGAGGCGCTTCTGGCAGAGGACAGCTGAGATTTTGCGGTGGATAAGGTAGCATAGACTGGTTAGAAAGAATAAGCCCAAGATATCGGTTTACCCCGCGGGAAGGGGACGGAGAATATGTTAGACTCGGCCAGAACGGTTCACAAGGTTGAACAGGGCAAGCCTTGATAGCAGAATCACCTGAACAAGAACTAAGAAGACAAAGAATGAAAACAAACGAGATGTCTATTACCAGTGTTGAGAATCGTATGATATTTTTGCATAGGTGTCGACTGACAATAGCCACATGAGACTTTGTCAAGACCGACATAGTCCTATGGGCAAAAAATAAATGGAACGAAATAAAACCACTTGACCTGGCGGGAGAAGCTGGACAATCTTAATGGCGGTGCTGGCTATACAGTAAATACTGGGACATATAGTAAGGAGAAAAAGCAAGATCGGTTATTAGAGACGCAAATCTTACGAGAAGGAAATCGCTCTTCAGGAATAGAACATTAACTGAAGAGTGTGAGGTTGAAGTGGAACGTGTAAGGCAGGAAAGGTGAGCTTAAAACGACGTTACGGTCGCTGCACTAAAGGCACTGAGAAATCTATATTGATGATGAACGATGAACAAAGGTCGGAGGAGTGATGATTTATCTCAATGACCACGGTATAAACATGGGGCTCAAATTAACCAATGCAGCCTACTTTAAAGTGTTCAATACACCATGTCCAAAATCATCCGTATGTAATTGCTCACAACAGAACTTCCACCGTTATGCCAGTAGCCAACAGCAGTTGTATAGAAGAATCGTCTGTGAACAAGTGTGAAGCTATACCTCGGCTGTCGGCCCTTCACGCCAACGTCCTGATTGTCGTCGGAAGTAAATCCTTTTAATCCACTTCCAAGCCTCTGACAAGGACATAAAGACGCCAACATCGATAAACACCACTGCCCATTCCCAGCCAATACCTGTATGCTGGAATACAACGTGGTTGAGCTTGGGGATGTATAAAACAGGGAATACTGTGAAGAAGACACCAAAAACAGCCCAGAATAGAAACTGGTTGCCCCAAAGATGACTAGCCCACGCCTTGGAGCCTTTGGGCATATAAAAGAGTGAGCGACGAAAGTCAATCAGACCCCACGCAAACAGGAGAAAGATCCAAGTCATCGTTGTGAAGCATGTAGCACGGGCGCGGAACACGGGAT